ATTGAAATACAATATATTAACTTTGTTATTTCCTCTACACGGCCGACAAAATTTCTTCTCGTGCTGGGATACCTACTAATCGCACTTCTTTCAACTTGTGCTAAAATTAATTATAAAATTATATCTCTGAACTCAGAAAAAAATAGTAATTTGTAGTTTGCTTTCCCGAAGGTATACCAGCCACGTTTAAACACATTCTTACAGTGAAGCCATAGTTAGCTGAACCAGAATCGGTGATTCTGAGATCACGCCATGGACAAGAACATACACTGATACCAAGCCCCGTTGTATTTTGTTTCTTATTTATGACATTACGTCATCCAAATAATATGCGCGCTTCGTGTTCTTTTCTAGAGGAAACTGTAATCGATAATACCAGGTACCATACTAATATCTGATACAAAGATCACCAGAATACTCTTGAAAGTCTGACACCTAAATATTTTCCCGTAAGGAAAACGATTAAATTTTGAAAGTATATATCAAATGCTGAGTTTAAATAATTCTCATTCTAATCCTAGGGCTCCCAAACTTCTTAAGACTTCTCTTGGGATGATTGATTTTAAATTAAAATTCATTTCGATAACGGTTACACACATGGGCAAAGAAAGATGAATTTGGAGTCTTAGCATTAAAATAAAACCGCCTAAGCTGAGACGAGACAGAGACAATTATGTGCCTTTGAAATAAATGTCACAGAATTGCATAAATGTCACGGAATTGCATAAATCCCTTTTATTTATTAAATACATACACTCAGGTTTCATCTTTTGTGCACAAAGATACCTAAGGGTGATATATAGACGACATAGAGCTGCATCGTTTGTGCATAAATGCCTCACCGTAACACTAATTCTTAACATTATGGAACGTCTTATGAGGGAGCAGTATACTTAAGGATTTGAACATCTTCAGCTGTAGAGGCATGTGAGTTATTTATTAATTTCTTGTGTATAAGTTATAACTATTGAACAACCATGTTGAGTTTTGTATATTACCTTCGGCTTACGTAATATAATGCAACTATTTTCTATTCTTGTTTGTGATTTAAATTAGAATTGTAAAATTGCATTTTTAAGTAACGGTTAGTACTTTAGGATTCTTATCAGACACAGATAGGCTCACTTCTGAACCTGTTTATTGCTTTGTAATGATGTGCCGATAATGTAATTTGCAAAGCTTGTCGTATCTATCGTCATTACGCTTTATCGTATATGCTTGTTTTATGCATATTACACGGTGTTTGACGTATTTTCAGCTGAATGTAGCCTAGGTGGTACCAGCTGTAGAACTAACTTTTGAAGCTGACCACAGCAGCGGTAAAGCTAAACCATTGCAGCCGTAGAGCTGAGTAGCACGTGATCGGGTGATCCTGACCGAACTGGTTGGCGCTGATTGTTTGATTGACCAAGGATTTGAATGGTGGTCTATGACTACATGAAATGTAATCTTTTAGCCGTGGCTAATTTTGTATTTTTCTATAACCAGTGTTTTGTGACTGTAAAGATATTTTGTATAATATCTGTCCCTTTATTTTGATCATATTACTACTTGAGTAAACTACCTCACTTTTCACTATGTGAGTGAATACATTTTTACTATTTAGAAAAACAAATCATTCTTTTCGTCGTGTGAAATTATTGTAAATCATTAACCTTTGTCCTTGTACTGTGTAAGGTCATTTACTTGTATTAACATTTGTCACATTATTAGCTTCATGCGCATTGTGTTAATTTTGTCTAATATTTGTATCTTGAACACGCATGTATTAATCATAATTCTTTTTTCATTCAAGTCATTCATCAATAAACATTTTATTTGTATCACCATCAAAAGTGTTCTGTTGTAAATCCGAAAATACATCCCGGTTATCTTATTAGTCACAAAATGAAACTTTTCAGAAATCGTTATTAATAAGGGCGGAATAAAGATAATTATTCTTGCTTCGATGGGCGTGTAATAATGTGAGGATTTGGTTGTGGGGAATTGGGGTGGGATGCTCCCAATGATTTATTTATTATTGTATAAGTCCCACCCAAGCTTGATTTTGGTTGGAAGTCAGCAATGGCGACGGCTAAGTGATAAAAAAGGGTGAAATTCAATGAATAACAATTTAATAACAATTGAATAGTAAAACGATTCAAATTTTCAAAGTACACTCCTTCTGCTCGACCCTTTAATAGCCTAATGCACCACTTGATTCGTACTGTGAGACAATTTTCCACCTGTGCTTGTGTATTCTTCTCTCCTATTTCTCTCAAATTCCTTCGCTCTTCCTCCCCGACTTATATTTTCCTTCTTCTCCTCCTCGACTTCTCTAAAGTGCTCCTCTTCGACGTCTCTATATTCCTTCTCCTCCTCCTTTACTTTCTTCTCCAGACTAATTTTCATCCTCCACCACCTACTATCCATCTTCTCTCCGCCGACTAGACTTTTGTCGACTCCAACTGCTCAGCCAGTCTTATTTCAGTCTCCCCTCTTAGAAACTAGGGACTCAACCTTAACCGGAAGTTCCGTCCCCTAAAAAAGCTTAATGTGAAAACACAGGGTAACAATATTTTTCCTTATCTCACACTACACACAGCCTATTATCACATCAGTATATATTCCTAATCACGAATTAACAAAGTTTGACACGTAACGAAAAAATAATGTGGGAAAAATCTGACAGAAGAAAATAAATTGAAATCTTTATTCAAAAGTTGAGACAAAAACATTCCCCCAAGTGACATCGTGCAAATTTCCGGCCACCAAAAATGCAGTTTGTAATGAACAGTTAGAACATCAGTGACAAACAAACAACGACAAGCATACTCCAATTATCTGAGCAACGCTGACTGTCCGAGTAATGATGTTGTCAACCCTATCTTCTCAACAGATTTCAAACTATACCGTATCATACCCTAACAACCCAAATTCCCAAACATGTAAAATAAAACAAAAACGTAGTCTGGATCAAAAATCACAGTACAGAAAAATGTTATCAGCAACCCATTCCATGGCTCAAATATCACAGTACAGAATCGTATTAATAGCATCCCATTCTATGGATCAAACATCACAGTACAAATTATACATGTTACGAACATAACAAAATAACGTAGAACAACTTAAATGAGACTCTCAACTGGGTTAACAGTCTCATACAGAGGCCCCACAAGCAAACTATTGGATAATTATTAAAACTAGCACAGAGTCAGTTACAAGAAATATGGCAATCACAATATGAATGATCTGTAATTAGGGTGAAATGTGTTTAATTACCACTTATTCCTTAGTCCTTTGATGAATCTGGCTGGAATCCACGCATAGCTAGATATAAACGGATGTATATTGTCACTGTTCATGACTCGGAACCTTATAAGATCGATGTTTGCGTTACATTATTAAAACACTCTGAATGTAAAATGACAGTTATGTTTGAATTTCATTTACTAAATGCAAAAAGAAACATATTAGTTAATAATAATAATCAAGTTTAAACGATATTAACTTGTTACTAAATAACTTTCGGGCGTTTATCACACTGTTACATTAGACAGTTTATGGCCATCAGATTTATCTCCCTTACAAAATGTATAACGCCTGTAAAATTCTATGTTGTATAAATAAACATATCTATAATATTTACACCGTATATTCAATATGCCACATATTGTATAAAATTTCATTAAGCGGTAACTTGTTCAGCCTCGCATCCTTTAGTGAAAAAAGTATTCAATGAGTTTTATTCAATGAACTTTATACATTCGAAATAAGTCTGATATAAGTAGCTCTAACGAGAACGCTAACAACAGGGAGCAAACCAGGTTTTGGCACAAACCTTTAGGATAAAATTTACAAAATATTTACAGAGCGCAAACCAGAAAGCTTTTTTATTAGTTCATGAAAACTGGTTTACAAAAATGTTTTATTTTATTTAAATAAATATGCGCAAAGATGTTAACTACTTGTACAGATCCTTGAAAGGCGGAAACTAAGAAACCAGCCTTCTACATTGTCCATGAAAACTGGTTAATAAATACATTATTGGATTGACTTGGGCAATGATTTTTAATTCTCATTGTTTATTATTTAATAATGTGCTTTGAATTAGGAGGGAATTTAGAACCGATCGAATCAATTTCCATATCACTCTAGTGTCTTTAAAGTTGCTTTATCAAGAACATTCATTACTTTGAGTCAGTGGTGCGTTTATTATCAATTTCTAAAACTTAGTTTCTTACTGATGTCCAAAGAATGACCACATGCAAGTCTCGATAGGCAGAACACTTGCTTTTTGTCCACTTGAATATGAGATTGTTGGTTTCCTACCCCAAAGGTGTTTGACAAACAACAATGCCAAGTCGACAGGCTCGTCTTGTTACATTTTCTCCCTGAGTTGGGCGGAAATTTTGGATGAAATGGTCGCAGACGGTAAGGAAGTAGGACCAGAACAAGCACAGTGGGGACTGGTTTTTGAGCACATTTCTTTTCTGCGACAGAGCGGCCATAAGTGCTACAGTTATGCGAGCCACCAGTTTCTGTTCGTGCGCCACGCACTGTTAGAAAACACGCAACCAACCATATTGGAAATGTCCGATGTACGGGAAGGCATCCGATTCTTTGGGTTGGCCTCGAACCTCAGAGATTTCTCATTCTTGATTGAATAGGAAGTCTGCATTCAATGTATGCAGCTTTCTATATCCTTGCTGTGCCTTCACTGTGCAGGCTGTATTCAGGTTTATATTTGATATTAAAATGTTCAGTATCCAACCTCAGTTAACTCGTATAAGGAAATGTAGCAACTAAAAGTGACTTAAGTAAAATTTTTTAAAGGAGGAAGGGTTCAAACTGAGTAGGTGATGCAATAAAAGTAAAATGGACAATATGTTACTTTGCACCCCTAGTTAACTGTTGCCTGTCTTTCCTAAATGTATCCCGGCAACCCAGGCAGAATGTGAAATATATCACAAAATGTAATAGTATATTTTTTGTTCGTTAAATTAAATAATAATAGTTGCCCCGGGTGAGGATCAAACTCACAACCTCCGCATCGCCTAAGATACTGTCTATAAGTACGGGGCGCTAACCGATTGCGCCACCGGGGCTGATTCAACCAAACAGTAATTAATAAACTTTAGACGACAAGGTCACCTCATTTTGATAGATGATTATCAATATCAATGATCCTCGGATCCTATAGGCAGTTCTCCTGTCGTATTAAGCATATAGATGTCGTATATTTGTAAATTTTATATCACAATTTCACTTACTACTAGGGTATGATTGTTCATGAAATATCTCAAGCAGGTAGGATTTATACACAAAAAAGACCTAGAAAACTTGTAAATCACAGGAGTAGCACGTGTCATGTTATATGTGTTTCCCGATGAATCGACTAATAAATTATTTGCAGAACTGAAATGACAGAACATTCACCGAAGAATTGTTATTCAAAAAGCCACATGTGCCAGAACGGAACTGTTAGGACTGAATTTTGTGTTATTGTATTTTGTAGTAGTTGCTCACTACAATACTTTTTACAGTGCAGAAATACCTTATAGCGATCTCTCCAATATTCTACGCTAATAAATTAAGTAACATTACACACTTATGTATCTGCAAGTTCAAAACATTTGTATGCAGTTGTATTGAGATGGTCAGACAAAAAAATACCTTTTATTTTTTTTTCTGTTTTGTTTTTATTTTTATTAAATTTTCTTTTTCTTTCTGTCTATCATAGCATCACAGTATGCCTAAATTAGGATAATATGCATAGAGACGATGGGATCGATCACTGGGCTGGAAAGTGGTAGACTCGTGCCCACTGCAGCGCCAGAGGCAATGTTATCTGTCACTGCCATATGTGGAGCCCGGGTTCCTTTGCGGGCTTAATTTTTATTTTTGTAAATAAAATAAAATAAAATAAATAAATAAATAAATAAATAAATAAATAAATAAATAAATAAATAAATCAAGACAACTATTAGAATAATTTGATCAATTCTGAGCCAATCCTTACACATACATGAGAGATATAGCAACAATATACTGTAGCACCATACATATAGCACATACGGGACTTCCATTGATCCCTGACAAGGATCACGATGTAAAGAAATAGAGCTTGGAAACCAGCCAGGGGAGTACAAGAATACTAAAACAAAAGTAGCGTCCAGGGTAGCAGCCAGAACCCTTATCAAAAACAAATAATTTATTTTTCTAAATTCTTTTTGATTTTTTTTTTACAATAAGATACTTTGCAAACAGATAGTCCATAGTGGAGGAAAATATACTGACATAAACTTTTGGAGGGGGTCCACGCCAATAAACTGCAAGTACTCGGATCACAATTAATTTTCTTATATAGTCCCTATATTTGTTTGTAGATACTGAGTTTTCCGTTGTGTCTAAATTCTAATAAATCACATGATATTCTAAAATATTTTCAATGATAAACTTGCTGTAAAATTCTCGTCAAAGATTTTAATGGCAATTTTTTTAGAATCTGTTTTGTCACAAAGCAATGTCCAGTGGGTGACAGATATCACTTCCATACCAGCAACAGTGCCTCATTAGTCAGTGTATACCGCCAACAAAATACACTCAGACAACTATACCTTAAGATTTATATTCTATTTAACAATTTCCTTTCAATTAATGCCCAGAATGCCTAAATCTAACTCATTTATAAAAAAAAAATCGAGGAAGAAATGCTGAAAATTAGACTGTGAATACATTAGTAGGTACTGACCCGGAAGCAAAACTTGTGACCTGAAGTAGTAGACTTTTTTGAGGTCTCTATGCTAAAACCCTATATTTTTATTATGACAAAAGCAATATTACCCTCTTCCAGGCCCCTCATGTTAGGATAAACGCCATTTTCAGCATAAGATAGGCTATACATGGCTGCCAGTAGTAATGGTGGAGGAAGAAACCGGGAAATCCCCCAAAAGAACCACCGACCCACGAGAAGCTACTGGCAAGCTTTCTCACATATCCACATTCGCCGAATCCTAGACTAGAACACACTTAGACATAGGTTATATGGCAGTGATCCGTAACGGATAGCGCTTTAAACCACTTGGGATCCCACCATATTTTGTATGATGACGATTTAATGTATTATTGGTAGGTCCTATAGCTAGGTAATCCATAATAGATTGTGTTGCCTCGCTCAAAGTTGCTTTCGTTTTTGTTTATACTAAGATGGGTGGTGGTGGTGGTGGCATGGCATGGGATAATCTTGCTTTCGTCTTAATACAAAATAGGGATTTGGCATAGAAATCTCATTATATTCTGCTACTCCTAAGTCCATAATGCCCAAGTTATTCTGATGCAGAACCTGAAAACAGGCTAATGAATATGCAGATCCAGGCGACCTGACATTTAGAACTTTCTCTGTTGTATCTCTTTATGTAAATCGAAATAATTAAACCACATTCTACAACTTGTTGTTTACTTATTTCAAGAAATTTTAGGCAAAATGTGGAGACAAACCTACCGTTTTGAGTTTTTTCTTTTCGATTACTGCCCACTTAAGTATCAATCGCTGTAATCAGTGTTAGGTGCGTAAGCAATGGTCTTAAGAAGTTTTTGAAAGGCTTTTCTTTCAACAATTCGACACACTCATGTACATTATATACCGGTAAGTCTAGTGTCTTGTTCTCTTGCATACACTTTTTTTCGGTACACTAATCTACAAGCTTTGGCGATGATAGACACTTTTTTCAAGGGGTTAATATCCCAGTCATCCAGAAATAACTGTCGAAATTTTCCACATCAGTGTCTGAGGATGTACACATACTTCATCATTTTTTTTTTCTCATTCGAACTCAAGAGTGTCTGAGGAGAGTCGCTTGGTACCAAGCGTAGAAAATTTCTCGATGTTTGTTATATACAGAAGAAGGTATGGGTCATAGGTCGTAGAAGTGGACATCAGGCAAATGCGACAACGAGGAAATACAGATCCATGGCAAACGCAATTAAACACACAAAAGTTATGTGAATTCCAATCTCTTGAGACCATTGAACATGTACGATAGGTACGAAAATTGTTTGCCATAAACGGCTGAAAAACGCAAAAGGGAACATTTTTCATACTTAAATGTTTCTAATCATGGTCACAAGTCTCAAACAAAAGAAAACTTTGTTTTATTTTCAACCTGGATATGAGATTGTGGATTTATGACCTCCAAAGGTCACAACAATGCAAATTCAACAGGTTTTCCTTGAGTTTGGCAGTTATGTGGGATAAAATGGGCGCAGACAGCAAGAGGGTAGGACCAGATAATAATAATAATAATAATAATAATAATAATAATAATAATAATAATAATAATAATAATAATAATAATAATAATAATAATAATAATGATTATACTAATAATAGAATACAACAAACTAACCATTTAATATTTTATTTTCACGCCACACTCCTAGAAAAATCACTGTGATCCTAACTGAAAAAATTCCACATATTACAGAACAAACTAATTCATCATTAAAGTGGCCTTTAATACAGAAATGCTACAAACACGTGAGAGCCTGGATTTTACATCTTCGAGCTAATTAATTGGAAGGGGTGGGGGTGGGTAGATACCCTGCATCTGCTCTTTTTTTCAATACAATGAACATTTTTGTTTACAAATTAATTCACCTCTTTCACTTAGAGCGAATTTTTTTTGTAGTGATGCTTTGGTATTCTATTTAGTTACCATTCGAATGCTTTCAGTATATACACACTGAATTTTACATATCTTTTGATCAAATCGCTTAGATTTCCACTGATGCTGAGATCTATGCACTTTAACCATCGTTTCAACTGCATCACTGAGTGATTTTCTATTAAAGCATAAGGTAGTATTCCACCAGGAATATCATCTTCTGTCAATGAAATGTAATGGTACTGAGCCGTCATATTGTAATTATTGTCCGAAGATGGGGCTACGTTCTATTTTTAGGTATGAGGTAGTGATTCGTGACGTCACACGAGGTCCACGGCTGAACAACCCTATTAGAAGATTCTGATCAATGGGATAATACTTGTTGCATTGTACCACTAATCGGTGATTATTGTTTTTCCTAACTGCATCAGGCTATCCAAACAAACAAACGTAGAATAGTAATAGGTATCTGGCCTTTTTTTAATAAAAAAAAGCTCTGCCCCGAGTGAGGATCGAACTCACAACCTCCGCATTGCTTGGGAATGTGTCGCGCACATAAAGTACGGCGCGCTAACCTATTGCGCCACCGGGGCGAACGGCTCCCATTTAGGTATCACTGTAATTACTACACTGTAAAAAACAAGGTCACCTGACCCATATAAAGAACAATGGTTGGTTCATTTTAATAGCTGACCATTAACCGCAGTCCGTTGTTTTCACGTAATTTGGCAGAAAATATGTATTCATATATCGGTCATTTTGAAGCCCTTGCCACATCTTATCTTATAAGCTATTCGCCAGCCGCATTAAGCATATGAAGTTCATATAGTTATTTATCCAATATCATAAAGTTTATTTACTACTCGGGGGAGGGGGCTAGTGCAACTTCTCAAGCAGACAGGACTAACGTACACAAAGAAAAGACCTAGACAACCGGAATATCACAGTACTGTTACGGGGTTGTATTTTAGACAAGGTTATTGCGAAATAAAAATGTTTCTTCAAATGAACGGGTTAAGTTGATTTATATTGTACCCTTGGAGGGTAAATGAGCGCAAATGTATCAGTGGCGTAAGAAGTGGGATTGGAACCACCGATATAGAGACAAAGGACACAGAATTTGATGGTACCAAGGAAGTACGTGACTGTTTCTCGTGCTTCAAGTCGTTGAATCAAGTTTCACACGATTGTACCGTAAGATGTTGCATCTCTGTATGTAATCGAAAAGAAGCGACTAAATAGTTTATTGTTATGAATTCTGAACCAGGCTATTTAGGATTACATTTGTGAAAAGCGGCTTCTAAGGTAAGTCAGTTTTTATGTCATCCAAGCCATTGAATTGAACCAAGCTATTCAAGTTGTAACTAATCCCAATTTGTATGGACCAACATAGTCCTATATACTTTTTTATTTCTCTACCCAAATTTGATATCCTAATAATA